TCCATAGTCGGTTTAAGTATATATTCTACTGGCTGTTGGCTCACCCTCTATGGGAACATCATTTTTAGGTACAGTGTAGCATGCCACCTACTGAGGAGGACATAGCTTGGAAGGCTAGAGGCAACATATCTTTGTTGTCTTATTCTTATTTGGATTGTATTACATGTAGATTTGAGCCTATGACTTAATGTGTATTTAAGCTAGCACCCTCTTTATGTAACCAAGTCTAACTTGGAAAGCTCGTTAGCCCGTAAGGCATTTGCTTCTGTTGTTAATCATGTAATACTTCGTAATTGAAATCACTCTGATATGAATGTGGACTTTTATGATCAATGCATGCTCTATATGGATGGTTTTAATGTTGTTATTTTCATGTGGCGTTAATATTGGCCCTCATTGGCCTCTCCCCAGGTCCTCTTCGATTTTTAGCCACTAAATTACTGTCAAATAGAATCTTTTTTTGAAAATTCAAGCAATACTGTGCTTTTTGAAATTCAACAATTGTTTTTTTTCTCATTTCCACAAATCCTAGAAGTTATCTTTTTGTCTTTTTAGAACCCTAACACTAAAAACATTATTCGAGCCCTAAACCCACACAAGGACCCAAATGGAGGTGATTTTGTCCATAATTTTCCTGACAGAGTACAGTTATTAAATTTAATGTCTCCCAAATGAAACACTCAATTTTACGTTATATTGATATGATTAATTATACTTAATGATGTACATTTTAACATTGAAGAGCGCTAATCAGCCTTTGAGAACATGGCATATTGACACCAAAACAGAATTATAATAACATTAACCAATTGATTTTGACATCATTTGTTGGTTAGCCTTTGATAATCATTGAAGTATGTCAATAATAGTGGAAAAATTACTAGGGAAATGGATGTCTCAATGTTTGTTCTCGCACATATCAACTGTAGAATAGCTAATGAGACACTGTTCAACACTATTATTTCATTTCGGTAAGCCTCTCAAATTTAGTAGTTTGCAACCCATTGATTGAGTGCGGGTGTTTTGTTTTAAGCTTTCAATCATAATTCTACCACCCATTCTTCAAAACCCAATTCAAAATATAATCATTTACTTTTCGAAAACTCAATTCAAAACAATATTTTAATTTTTTTAATATTTTAAAATTTTTAATTATTGTTTAAGATTTTAAATATTTTAATATTTAAATATGTACACTTTTTTTATTTTTTTAATTTTTTGAATATTTTTATAATATTACGGATTTTAATTTTTTAAATTTAAATATTTTTAAAAATAAATTCAAATTCTATTTTATAAAATATTTTTAAATATTTAATTTTTTGTTACGTATTTGGCTTTACGATTTGAGTGTAAAATTGTGAAAGTAGTATTGGAGTTTTGAGTTTATGTGTGTTTGGTTATGAGTTTTTTAAAAATATTTTTTATTGAGTTTTGTTTTATGTGTTGGTTACGATTGAGTGTAGAGTTGTTTTTTAAATTTAAAATTATTTAAATTTTTATCTAATTTTAAGATTTTTTAAATTTTTTACGGATTTTAAATTTTTAGATTATTTAATATTTAATATATTATTATTTAAATTTTTTTGAATATTTATTTTGAAAAAAATTATTTCCTTTGTAGTATCTGTCAATTAAAAAATGATTAATGTTTATTTTCTGTTAATAATTAATTTTTTTTAATTGAATTTTAAAAAGAGTTGGTTATGAGTGTTGATCAGATTTTCAATATGTGAAGTAGTCTGTTTTGTTATGAGTTGTAATCAATTTGAATTTAAGTTTTGAAAAACTTCTTTCCAAAATTCGATAACCAAACAAATTTTCTTACTTTCATATGGTCATAATCAATACTTTTCAAAACTCAATTCGACACTCAATTCAAAACTCAATTCAAAACACTCCTTATTTCAAAATCATATACCAAACAAAATTTCTACACTCAAATCATAATTTCAAAACACAAACTCAAAATACATTCAATTCTCCAAATCATAGTTTAGAAGTCTTACCAACAACGGGCCTATATATTGATTGTCCATGGATAATTAGATATTGAGTTACTATGTAGATTGGTATATAGCTTTGAACCACTTGTTGCTCTTTAACCATCTTTTCTTTCCTTTTTTTTAAACTTTCTTCAAGTTGTTCAATTTTGCAGTTGAGGCTTATTTTATTTCTTTCTCGATTTGTACTGTCATTCATATTTTATTGACTCATTTTATAAGCGAATATTTATTTCATTATATATGGAGGATTAAGAATAGTATGTTTGATGTAGTCTGTCTAATGAGGATATTTGACCATGCATATTCTGTTGATTTTGATAATATCATAACCTATAAATGTGGGTTTTGTAGGTTGGTGGTTTAACCAAAGTTATAGCCCTTGAACGAGTGGAATGGATAAGTAGAACTTTCACACCCGAGACGAACGGCACAAGGCTTTGTTGAGTGGGATAAATTGAATTGAGTTGTGTTTGAGAGGGGGCGGGGGGAAACCTGAGGTGGTACTTTAAATAGTGTCTCACATATCAACCAAGGAGTTGAATGCTACTAAAGTAGTGCCCTTTTATATGGATGCCCTTGTCACCATTTGTCCATGGTTCTTGTATGACATCATATCAATTATTAATGTTCAATCCAACATCCATACACATTTTTGCTAGCTACTCTACAACATATAAGAGAGAAGATATGAAAGAATTT